AAAATGTTTTACTACCACTTCTGTGCGTTTGATTTAATTTTCTTCTAGATAAAATTTGTAATTATTTTAATTTTTACAAAAGCGAAAACGACGAAGCAAAACAAAAAAACGTTTTTTTTGCAGTCCGGCCTACTTCGATCCTATCAGGCTTACTATTTAATGAAATTGTTTGCAAATCTTTATTTCTTAACTACTTTTCGAAGGGACGTAAGGGACGTTTTTTGTAAACAATGCATTTGATCGATGATTTTGCGTTACTGGTAGCTCGGCCACATACGCTAAAAGCTTCAAAAGCTGATACGTCCCTTTGCAAAAGTAATCGAGATGTTATGTTTCACAGTTCCAGGTAAGTCTCAGGTCTTGTTTTTTTTTCATAGTCTGTGGCTAGGAAATTTGTAGAAGATGTTGTACAGCTGGCTTTATTTTTATTCAGTGTTTGAAACATTACATTACAAATTATTATTTTAATTTAATATGAAACATACGTCATAGTTTACTGCAATCTCAAGCTGGTCAATTATTTGAAGTGTACTTACTATCTAAACTGATCTTGCCTCCTTTTTATTGAACATGCTCAGCGTTTATCAATTTACACCCCGATTCAAATGCTGACACAGTTGATAAAGAATCAACAACAAAAAAATACCTAGTTCTGTTCCGACAAAAACTACCAAGATTATCCTAAACGGATAATCGCCAACGGGAATGGACGAGTCAGCAAGTAGCATGAACTCATTTTTGAAGTTGCAATTTCTCATTCGACCTCCATAATCAACTTCCGCAACGAATGTCTCAAGCTGTCGGGTAGCTTGTATCATACCGCCTATAAAATATTCACCATCAACTAAGCAGCCGGAGAATAATAATAGCGTATTTTGCTGTTGTAACTCAATTCGAAAATTTGCGAATCTCCACTTATTTTCGTCCGTGGCAATCGGTTGCGGTGTCATCTGCGTACTTGTCACCTGCTGATGGGAAACGTCTCCGCATTGACATAGCATCGTGATGTTGAAAGTACGATCGGACCTCATTCTCATGTAAAACTTCATACATTCAGGATGATAGTGGTACCAATCCGGAAACATGTTGAACGGACTGTGTCCTTGCTCATTGGGTTGTAGAACTACGACGAAACCTTCAAAGTTGAAATTGTGCGGGATGGCAACGGCATTAGGTAGATCAGTTTTCCAGCACTCTTGAACATCCAAACAGAATACCGAAGGAAACACAATGGGAAACAGAAGCGTTAACATTATGGCGATATAGCTCATAGCGTCGGTCGACGATTACTAACCGAGGTCAAAGAAACTGTGACGAACAACGATGGATAGGATTGCAACGGAAGTGAATATCTCAGGGGAAATAAGATAATGAGGTGGCACAATAATGTTGCACACCCGGAAATCCCTTAACGAGTGTACGGATGTATTTGAGTTCACTCACTCGAGAAAAAGTGGGGGTGCAGTGAAGAGAAGTTAATAAAATAATATCACAACAAATTGCTTTTCTTCTTAAAAAAAAACCTTTTGGGATTTCGATCTTTTGTTACTTTTGTTTTTTTGTCCTGTCGACCTTTTGTCTTTCGACCTTTTGTCTTTCAACCTTTTGTCTTTCGACCTTTTGTATTTCGACCTTTTGTCTTTCGACCTTTTGTCTTTCGACCTTTTGTCTTTTGACCTTTTGTCTTTCGACCTTTTGTCTTTCGACCTTTTGTCTTTCGACCTTTTGTCTTTCGACCTTTCGTCTTTCGACCTTTTGTCTTTCGACTTTTTGTCTTTCGACAATTTGTCTTTCGACCTCTAACTCTAAAAACTAGTAGGTTCCGAAGAAAATTGCTCAACTTTTTGGCTCAGCTCTGGTACTATCTTAGGTCCCAAGCTAATCGATTCACCCCTCGAAACATAGGAATATCCATGGTGGGTATACAAATGGTGATACAGCTTTGTCACTATATAGGCGAGGAGGTCGCGGGGGGGGGGAAAGTACGGTTTTAGAGCAAACTGTAAACAAACTCGGTCGCTGTCCCATACAAAAATCAAACATGGCTGAATCATGAATTTGACACATTAGAACACCTATATGTAGTCACCTTGGGAAAATCCACTAACCTCTCATTTATCTGTCAAACTTTCATAGCGAATCAAAACAAACATAGTGTAGGACTAGAATTTTGACTAGAATGGGGTACGTAAATCGATTTGCTTGGGACCAATAGGCTAGTCAAGTAGTGAGCCAATTTAAAATCGTTAGTTTCCACCGGTTGCTTATACGTTTTATGAAAAATCAGTAATAGTCGAATGGACTATAAGTCGAATGAATTTAAAATTGACGAAAGATCGAATATACAAATGCTCCCGGACCAGAAATTTGCGGCATCGCGAGTGATGCGTCAGAAGTGCTGGATTTTTTAATCTTTCTATGATGGAATTGCCGTAATAAGCGGATACCATATACTAACGATATAATTGATGGTACGACCATACCACATAAAGTTGGGATGATACCCCGAATTGGTGGTTAGGCGCTTTTTATGTTTATTGTTTATGCGGGTGGTGATCAGATGTACTCCAAGCACCTGCAGTTAGCTTCCAATTAAGTAACGCAGGCGAAAGAGTGGTTAATGCTCTCAATGCTTCTGTGTGCTGGAGAAGAGTGGCAGGAATGTTCAGTGCTGTAAATTCTCAAAATCAACTGAACATTTTTGGAGAAAATGAGAATAGCAGCTATTCGCTATCAAACGGGAGCTCCTTCGAATGGGTGATATCAGTTGCTTAGTCATTTGACGAAGGCATGGATTATTCTCATTTGAGAAACGCTTGATATCATTCAATTGAGTGTAACCTACACATAAACGGAGCTCTGGTCGACATTCCGGCGAAAAAGCTAAGCCAACCCGACACCAACCTGACTTCTACCAAAATCCAACCCGATATTGACCCGACCTAAGCCCAAAAGTGACCCGACAACAACACGACATTGGGTTGACATCGACCTTAAATTTGCCTTACATTGATCCGACATCGGGTCGATTTATCTTTTCGGGTCCATTCTGCTGGGTTTCTTCCATACTCCACTGTCGTATATCAAATGATAGTGAGTGACTCAATTGACAGTGACGATGAGCTTCGAATGAGAAAGGGGCTCTTCAAATTATGGTCATGTGAGAATACGTTTTCACAGAATTGATTGGATGGCTGTATTGTTTCATCCTTAATCGAATGATATGAAAATTAACAGCACTGAGAATGATGCTTCGAAAACATGGAAAGACAGGATTATTGCAGACCATTTTGGTGAGAGCTTTCCTTTGTAATTTATTTAATTGTATTTCCATTATCACATAATCTTTACTTTATATTGCCGAATAGAGATTCCTAAATATATTTCACTACCTATCAACACAAATGTTCCCTCCCGAGACATCTATGAAGGTTGTACGGGTTCCCTGTACCTTCTTGTTTTGGAAATTTTGATGTGTGGGAAAAACCACTAATCCAAAGTGGTTTTTCACGGCAACTTACTATATTTTCTGCAAAATGTATTGGTTGACCATTATAAAGCCCCCCACGAATTGTGCAATTGCATATGCTTTGCTATGCTATGCTATTAGAACCCCCCTGCACCTTGTAAGAATTTAAGTAAGCCTCCACCACCTAAATCTAAGTTAGATTTCATAATTTTAAGAAAATCGTTGAAGATTGATTGATAACAATTTTGTCTGATTGACCTGTCTAAGCCTGATTGACTTGCCTTACTTCATTTTAATTTGATTCTAGCTTTTGTCCATTTCAAACTCTTGTCCATTTCCACATTTTGTCTATTTTGACCTTTTGTCCATTTTGACTTTTTGTCCATTTTGACCTTTTGTTCATACGACTTTTTGCCCATCCGATTTTTTTCCATTCGATCTTTTGATCCTGCAAATTATACTCAACCTTGACAAAAGGTTCAATGACAAATGGTCGAAAGAACAAAAGGTCAACTGGACAAAAGGGCCAAATGATGAGAAAGGGGACAAAAGGTAGAATTGAATCAGAGGGACAAAAAAAAAGTTAAATGGTCAAAACGTCTAAGGTACAAGAGGTAGAATGGACAAAATGTCGAATGGCCACATGTCAAATGGAAAAATGAACGAATTGTGAGAAGCGGGTCAAAAGGTTGAGTGGAAAAATGTCGAATGATCAAACCCTCTTCTCATCATTTAACCTTTTTTTTTTCCTTTCGGCCTTAATTCATTCGACGTTTTTTCATTCTTTTTTTATTTCGACCTTTTGTCATATAATCGTTTTCAGATGTTGTAATATTTTGAAGAATCATATCACGGTTCCGGCCCAAAGAGGAACAAAAAGTTGAATGGTGTCTAAATGTCGAATGATGCAGAGTGGCAAAAGGTCGAATGGATAAAAGATCGAATGGACAAAATGTTGAATCATTTGAAGGGAGACAAAAAGTCGAATTGACATAATGATTTGTCATTTAATATTCAACGTAACATGTCTTAAGAGTGTCAAATATTCTTTTCGCAATTTTTCATCTGACCAACTGGGCTTCACAACAAAATGTACCACAGTTCGACCATTTTTCTCTCTTTGATTCATTCTTTCATTTGTTCTCTTCTCATCATTCGAACTTTTGTCCATTCGACCTTGCGCCCCTTCTTATCATTAGACCTATTGTTCCTCTTTTAATCATTCGACCTTTTGTCCGTTTGACCTTTGTCCCTTCGACGTTTTTTTTTTCACTCGGCGGTTTGTCATTTGATCTTTTGTTATACTATCCTTACCACTGCCAAGTCCGGCCGTTTTCGTAAACTGCTGCTTGCCCGGAAATGTTTCAAATTCACAACTAACCATTATATCTATTGGGCATCCGGTAGCTAGCAGTTTAACTTCGCTGATCCCTATCTTAAGCAAACTGATGGCACTGCAAAATTAAAAAAAATAATAATTATTCGAATAAGTATGCGTTCAAACAACATAAGATTCATTCAATTATTCCAGCTACATGAACCACATTTACGGCAAATGGCATCTGGGATCTTACACACGTAGGTACACTCCCTTGGAGCGTGGTTTCGACTCGCACGTTGGCTTCTGGACCGGCCATCACCATATGTTTGACCACACGGCCGTCGAAAAGGGAACGTGGGGTTTGGACATGCGACGAGGTTTCGACGTTGCTTACGACCTTCACGGGAAGTACACAACCCACGTCGTACGGGATGAGTCAGTTGCAGCCATTCGGAACCACAACACTTCTTCGCCGATGTTCCTGTATGTGTCCCATGCGGCAGTTCACTCGGCTAATCCGTACGATTTCCTACCAGCACCGGACGAGACGGTTGAAAGTATGTCCGGGATAACCAATTTTCAAAGGAGGAAGTTTGCTGGTAACTCTAATTCTTCAAATGATTCAAAAGTAGTTTAAATAGAATAAAATTTCTTATTCCTCAGCCATGTTGACGGAACTGGACCAGTCGGTAGGGACAATCATCATTGCTCTGAGTGAGCGGGGAATGCTGGACAACTCGATCATTGTGTTCAGTACAGACAACGGAGGCCCAGCGCATGGTTTCAACAACAATGCTGCTTCGAATTGGCCGCTCAGAGGAACGAAGAATACCCTCTGGGAGGGAGGAGTCCGAGGTACTGGCTTCATATGGAGCCCTTTGATCGAGGAAAGGCGCCGAGTTTCACACCAGATAATGCACATCAGTGATTGGCTGCCGACGCTACTGGATGCTGCCGGCTATGATTTGGAGTAAGTATGATCGCTATATGGCTGTTGAAATTATTTAGTTTTATTCATTGATTATTTTGTTCTAGCAATCTTCCCACGAACTTGGATGGCATAAGCGTTTGGAAGCAACTTCAAAATGGAAATCAAACGGGCCGCAACGAAATTCTGCACAATATTGATGACATCTGGGGAAGTGCGGCTTTGACGGTGGATAATTGGAAAGTGGTTCATGGGACCAATTACGAAGGACAGTGGGATGCTTGGTATGGGCCAGCAGGAGATCACGATACCAAATCGTACAACGTAACAGCGATCTTCGATTGTCCGACTGGAAAAGCGCTGAATAAGCTTAGGATGCTTCCACCGGAAGAGGAAATTCTACATCTCAGACGGGAGGCAACTGTTTATTGTACGAATGGGACCAAGAAGAAATGTGATCCGTTGGAAGCACCCTGTCTCTTCGATCTAGACAATGATCCGTGCGAGTTTGACAACTTGGCAGATGAATATCCGGACATTCTGGGAGACATACTGGTAAAGTTGGGCGAGTATAATGCATCAGCGGTGCCTCCTGGGAATATGCCGTTGGATCCCATGGGTGATCCTCGCTTCTGGGGATATACGTGGCATAATTTTGGAGATGAGCTGCCAATGAATGAGCTTGATGATGTTACTGAAAGTGCAAACAATGAAATGACTTAAAGCAAATGATTGTGTTCTACATAAATCCGAAATTGATTGTCCTTGATTTACAGTTGCTTGTATGGCAATTATAAAGTATGGTACAGTTAGAATCTGAACGCAAGAAATCAGCTCAATCTCAGCAAGAGCTAAAAGGAAGAGGAGACAATACGGGGGCGAAAACGAACCACTTTTGTGTCAAACGCGAACCAGCTCGTGATTGGCCGATTTGAAATGCGTAAGATAGAGATAGAGATAGATATAAACTAAGAGGAACTGATGAAAATCGGCTTCTTCCTCTTTTATTTCTATCTCTATCTCTATCTTTATCTATCTTTATCTCTATCTTACGCACATGAAATCGGCCAATCAGGAGCTGGTTCACGTTTGACAGAAAAGTGGTTCATAGTCGCCCCCGTATTGTCATCTCTCCTCTTAGGATATAAATAGAGATAGAGATAAAAGAGTAAAGGCCGGCGCACAATAGATACGTTTTCGGGTTTTTTGACAGTTAGCCCATGCATTATCTGTCAAAAAACCCGAAAACGTATCTATTGTGCGCCGGCCTTAAGAACCCAGTTGTCTCCTCTTCCTCTTAGGATAAGAGGCTCGTCGTTTTTCAAACAACGGAACGATGGTACCGTGGATGACCACTATTGACCAATGCACGGAATGAACTCACGAAAAAAATTGACGTTTGAGCGGTGCCATGTTTACTAAAAATGAACACAAGATGTAATTCTCGCGTAACCTTAGAAAAAGGCCAATCAACTTTTATAACCAACTTGTTAGGCCCTTTTCACGTGAACCGAAGAACACCCACGCAAACCAAGAGCTTTATCGGGAAGGGGAGAATTTACCCTACTCGATGGTGTTGTTGGTATGCGTGGGCGTACTTCGTTTCGCGCGCAAAGGGCTTAACAAGCTTTGTGTACAAAAGTTGATCGGCCATTTTTTAATGTTACGCGAGCATGATTCATGTGTTCATTTTTAGTAAACACGGCACCGCTCAAACGTCAAATTTGTTCGTGCAGTTCATTCCGTACATTGGTCAATGGACGAGTGCACCGATGAATTTTAGTTCACTCACTCGAGAAAAAGTGACAAAAGCTGCGGGTAATGTTTACTAATCATGAACACTAAATGTTCATTATTCATTATTCATGAACATTTAGTGTTCATGGTCAGTAAACATTGCCCGCAGCTTGTGTCATTTTTTCTCGAGTAAGTGAACTCAAATCCATCGGTGCACTCGTCCATTTTCCCCCAGTTAGCCGCAATGAGATATACATACAGGAGTGGCACATGATAGTGTTTGTTTATGTTTGAGAGCAATACTACGAAACATTTTCGGAGATGAAAAGTGGCGACGACACAAGAACCAACTCTCCGAAAAAAAAATCGTGATTGTGACGTTGCAACTTATTGTCTCCGGTGCCTGAAGCTTCGGGTACACGGGACCTCACTACCATCCATAAAGTTTGCCCCGCTTACTAATGCATTCGTAAGAGGCACTGCCTAACCTATAGGCAAGCATGGGAAAAATCGTTCAATTTTGCATTCTCAACTCACTCACACGCATATAACATCAGAAACGAACAGCAGCTTGTGCGAGCCGCACTGATTTCGTTCGTATTCGCACTGCTTCTATTTTCTTCGATGAATGCAGAATTGAGCAAAACAGACAGCTGAGCGTAACATGAATGATTCTGAGTGTAGTAGTGTGGATGATTCCTCTCTTATTATTTTTTCCATGCTGAGCCTTTTACGATTGCATTCTGCTGAGTGAGCTGAATGAGAATTTTGCAGAAAGAATCACTTTTTATTTTCTAGCTTTAAACATACATTGACACATTTAAATCGCTTTTAATTTCGAGAAAACTGTGATACTGTAACACATAAACATAAACGTCACGCAAATAACTTAAAACTGCTGTGGCCAATTCAACTGATTTAAATCAGTGAGCCAAAAACTATCTGACTCAGCTATTTAAATCGTTAGCATTCGGATCTAACGCATTCAATCTGGTTCTCCCTCGCTAGAGAAAATTGTTCGGCTGCCTTTCAGATTATGCTTTTTCCCTTCTACTGCTGTCAGTTCTGATTCGAGCTGCAGAGTCACTTGGTAGGAAAAATTTACACTTGTTCGGCAATCTGTTTGTAGGCGAAGATGGCTATTTTGATTCTGTGGTGCTCGCGCGAGTGAATGAATTTTCCCATGCTTGCCTATAGGTAAAGCACATAAAGGTAGCCGATTTTACACGCCGAAGAAATCTTAAGGAATGCTTAAGATTTCCAGCAGAGTTCTGATGATGTGTTTAAATGAATTGCTGATAGACGAGATTACGGCTGAACTTTTGTTCATTTACTGAAAAAATTGACACAACAGCGGCGCCCTGTATACTTAAAATGAACACATGAATAATGCTTGCGTAACATTTCAAAAGGGCCTATCAACTTATGTAAATAACTTACTAGGTCCTTTTCAGGAGAACCAAGAGCACTATCGGGAAAGGGAGAACTCCCCCTACCCGATGGTGATGTTCGTTTGCGTTGGCGTATTCGGTTCGGGCAAAAAATTAAAATTCGGAAATTTTAAAATATGTTTTTTTCGGAAAAACGACTCAGTGCTTGTAAACAGAACCACTGAAATGTCAAAATGGTTCAGCCAATTAACACTGAGTTCATTCGTGGCATCACGCTGCAGAATTTAATGAACGAGTGCACCGATGAATTTGAGTTCACTCACCCGAGAAAAAGTGACAAGCTGCGGGCAATGTTTACTAATCATGAACACTAAATATTCATGAATAATGAATAATGAACATTTAGTGTTCATGAATAGTAAACATTGCCCGCAGCTTGTGTCACTTTTTCTCGAGTGAGTGAACTCAAATTCATCGGTGCACTCGTCCATAGACGATTGCACTGGTGAACTTTTGTTCATATACTGAAACAAAATTGACACAACAGCGGGACCCTGTTTATTAAAAATGAACACACTAATAATGCTCGCGTAACATTTGAAAAGAGCCTATCAACTTTTGTAAACAACTTGCAAGGTCCTTTTCACGAGAACAGAAGAACACCCACGCAAACCAAGAGCACTATCGGGAAGGGGAGAGTTTCCCGTACCCGATGGTGTTGTTGGTTTGCGTTGGTGTATTCGGTTTACGCGAAAAGGGCTTAACAAGTTTTGTGTACATAAGTTGATAGGTCCGTTTCAAATGTTACGCGAGTATTATTCATCTGTTCATTTTTAATAAACATTGCCCGCAGCTTGTGTCACTTGTTTTCGAGTGAGTTAACTCAACTTCATCGGTGCACTCGTCCATAGTATCCCAGGGGATTTGCGTCGGTATTTACTGCGAAAGAAGAAAAAAAAACGCCAGTCTTATGATCGGATGTCGTTATCGAGTAGGCAACATTGCACACACGTCAGTGAACCCAAAATAGCAAAACAAATTATTTTGGACTGGGACATTATGGAGCGTAATAGTAATGGATTACTATTCGTCATTGCATAAAATCCATTGCACAACACCTCGGTAAACTGTCAGTTTCAGCTGGATACGATTCAACGACTCCTGATCCGCTCATTGCTTCCAGCCAATATTCGCCTGCACAATCAAGGCATCCTTCGCAAGTTGCTCAGACTCTACTTCTTCTTCTTCTTCGCATTTCAAGCTTATTGCATATCGCATATTAGCTTATTGCGTGCACAGTTATTAATTGAGCGCTTTCGATGCCTGTACCATTTTTGCATTGGTATAATTGTATGGCAAGTCCAATCATACTTCAATGCCCAGGGAAGTCGAGAAATTTTCCAACCTGAAAAATTCCTAGACCGGACCGGGAATTGAACCCAGCCACCTCCAGCATGGTCTTGCTTTGTAGCTGCGCCTTTACCGACTGAGCTAAGGGAGGCCCACACTCTAGAACGTATTGAAACTATACCTGCTCCTTCAGACTTGCTGCTGTAGTATCAACTGTGATGTCGACGATTTTTGCGTAGCTACCCCCGATCTTTGCTACGACATCATTATTCTCACGGAGACATGGTTGGATTCACGCACGCTCTCTCGTCAGGTGTTCGGCGACGATTGTGAAGTTTTCCGTTGCGATAGGAATGCTGCTAATAGTCAGAAAGTTAAAGGTGGAGGTGTTTTAGTGGCTATAAATTCTAGGTTTAGAGCGAGGTTACTAGAAAATAATGCTTGGACATGTTTAGAGCAGGTGTTGACGTCGATTAAACTGGGCGATCGTACCTTGTTTCTCTGTGCGGTTTACTTTCCTCCCGATCGTATACGGGAGCGTGACCTCATCGAAACCCATTGCCAATCGGTTTTCTCTGTTCTGGATGCCGCCAAAGCAACCGATGAAGTTATTGTGTTTGGTGACTTCAATCTCCCGGGGATTTCATGGAAAAAAAACTCGCAACTCGCGTTTCTTTTATCCTGACATGGATCACTCTGTCGTCCATTCCTACACCCAACCGGTGGATGTAAGATTAGCTTACAATTATGTGGGATTCATCATCAGAGGATGTAAGTGGAGACCGCATGAACCGAGGATGCGATATACCTAGCTGCGGTCCGATGTAAGAAAATTGGAGACCGAAAAATGTGGAGTTGTATTAGTGAGTGAAATTAATTATGTCGAAAAAAAAATAGAAAAAAGGTTGGCGACTGGACTCGAACCACGGACGTTGCGACTATCAGACCTGTGCTTTCTCCACTGCTCTCTCCATGCTTCGAAATACGGTTAGCCTAAAAGCAAACATGAAGCGCTCATTTTCTCGCATGCTCGACTTCATATGCTTTTTCTGCTGGAGAGATTCGAGATAAGTGTGTGCGTCGTTCTTCAATGTTCTACAATGTGCGTCGTTGTTCTACAAGCTTACTGGTATAGTCGAAAGCGTAGATGGAACACGAAATAAAAATGCTCGACTTCGTGTGCTTTTTCTGCTGGAGAGATTCGAGACAAGTGTGTGCGTCGTTCTACAATGTTCTACAATGTGC